ACTTTATAATTAAATAGGTACTTTTATGGAAGCAGTATTTGTATTCTCAACTAAAATACTTTAACATATATTTTTTAGTGTTCAAATACTTTACAAACAATCCGCATATTTCGCAAAGTATTCTAATACTTCACTAACAATCCAATACTTTTCAAGTTAGTGAAATACTTTGAGAACTATTTAAATATATATATTAAATGGAAAGTATTAAATACTGTCAGAAGGATTTAAATATTATTCGACAGAAATTCCCCTTATGTGATGGTTTTGTGCGCCCGTCTGTCTGTCTGTTCCTCGTCTAATTGGAGAATGGAAAGAGACAGGGATGTCAAACCTTCACCAATCTATTTCTATGACTTTAAAGATCAATGCTATTGAATATGAGCTGAATTAAAAGTGTTATTTCCAAATCCGAGCCGAGTGTCAAAAAATTCCCCTATTAAGAATCGTACGCGATACTTCATATGTTGTTTAACGATCGCCATGAGTTTATAATTTCGTATTACTGTGTCTATCTGTCCGTGTGCATAATAACTTTGTTTAGAAACGTCAGATCGCTTTAAAAATTGGTACTCATGTTCGTAAGGGTATAAGAAAGGTCGCTATTGTTTCAGTTACGAAGTTCTAAAAATAGTGGATGCGTGAACATCTCGAGGATCATTCGGTATTCGACTGTATCGAATTTCGAGATGTGATGATAACGATATTGTTTCAAGCCACTGCAGCACGATATGATAAAACTAGTATTTTTAATAGATGCATACATACTGTTTAATCACCGTAATAGGCTACTAAATGTAATCACCCAAAATAACATCAAGTGATCATGATGATGATGGATAATCTTTTTAATTTTTCAAGTATTTGAGTGAAGTATTTGAATACTTTTGACTATATTTGAGCACTTGTCAAAGTAATGAAACACTTTTTAAAGTATTCAAATAGGTACTTTTGATAGAATAAAAGCCGTTTAAATAAAATTGATGAATTATCAACTTCGGCATGACCTTTAGTTTTCAAACTAAGCGATGCAGGAATAACTCGATAGTACGAAGCTAATGCAGTACTCCCGAAGGCTGTTTATCTAGTCTTATCTAATCTCGCTTCATGTAGATATCGGTAGGTCTATGAAAGGCACTCGAACGAGTTTTGAGTATAATAAAGTTTAGTATATTTTTGGGGACGTTCACCTCGCCCCCATTAATTTTCTATTTATTTTTAAACCCAAAAAAGGCGACATAAATACCCAATAGAGCACAATTGGACCACAGTAGACAGAAAAGCTAACAGGGGGGAGGGGGCACATTTATATTGTAACCTTCACTTACTGTAGAAGAACGCGTAAATTCTTTTTTTTTTTTTTTTTTTTTTTTTTTAAGGCTTTCGGGATCTTGCCCATTTTAGCCTACATTAGGGAAACCAGAGGACTAAACAAGGATTTATACGTTTCACGCTTTGGGGCCGATCAAAGCGACTTCACACAACACATAGGTAGGCCACGGAAGGTTGGTACTTGGTAGCACATAAGGATGACATAATACGGGTTACAATTACAACGGTAGTTTACTTGCAGCTACAAAACGGACTAAAATGTCATAAACTCCCTTATCGTTGGTACTTAGAATTGTTGGTACATCGAGAGGGTGTGTCAACCCCAGCTTGAGTAGGCCTTCCATCATGATATTCGTGTAATTTGTATTCTGCGGACAGGCGAGAACTAAATGATTCAAATCTGCTACCTCATAATTACAAAACGTGCACTGTGCCGAGGGAATCAAATTTATTCTGTGCAAATGTGTTGGAAATCTACCGTGCGCTGTTTTTAGCCTGACTATGCTTGATTGATAAAATCTATTGGATTTGTAATTATAGTAACACGGATTGATTGTTATTGAGGGCATTATACGGGTAGGTATACTGCGTGGGTCTTCTAAGGCATCGCTCTCTCCACTCGGCTTCCCATTGCGTTCGAAGAATTTGCTGCTTCATGAATGCCGTTTCATCCTGTTTGGACTGCGGGATGTTTAAAATGATTCCCGACTCCACAGCTCCTTTCGCCAATTTGTCCACTGTTTCGTTGTGGCTTATCCCAATGTGAGCTTTAATCCAATAAAAATAAATTTCAATACCTTCTTTACGGAGGCGGGCCACATTCGTGAGTATATCTAGGATATACGGGTTGGTACTGTAAAAATTAGTTTTGTTGTCCAAAGCTTTTAGTACACTAAGGGAGTCGCTCATCACAACAAGCTTTTTCGTGACTACCACATGAATTTCTCTTAACGCATAGGCAATGGCTGTTGCCTCCGCCGTGAAAGTAGATGCGTTCCCATTCAACTTAAATACGTTCTGTTGTCCTGAGGGTTGTATAAGGTAAGCACAACCGCAGCCATTCTCACCCTTTGAACCGTCCGTGTAAATAAAGAGAGCGTGTTGGTGTGTTCTAATAATTGACTGGTGTAGAAGATTATCCAAAGACGAAATACCTTGATATGGTGGGAAGATGACTTGAATCTCCGAAATATAGTCGGTGTAATTAATGTCTTTACTGATAGCGCTTTCACGGAGGATAGCGATGTCAGACAGATTTCTAGATGCTGTTGCAAAAGGGGGAGCATTTTTTAACCGCCAATACAGGTTTACCAAATCTTGCACAGCCAACTCCGATAATTTTGGTAAAATCTTAGAATTCTGAGATTTGCACTTCAACACGAATTTAGAAGCCAGGAAGTTTCTTCTGATGGACAGTGGAGGTTCCCGTGCTTCCACCTGTACTACGTCTCCTGGAGAAGAGCACATTGCCCCCATGCAAAGACGTAGTGCCTTATTAGATACCGCGTCCAGACGTTTTAAATTTGAGTTCGAGGCACAGCCATACAAGATACATCCATAGTCAAGCAGACTTCTAACATACGTTTTGTAGATCTTTAAGTTAGAGTGCATGTCGGCACCCCAATTAACTCTGGAAATCATCCTAATCAGATTAATGCCCCTTTCACATCTACCTATCAACTTCTCTATATGCGGTCTCCACCTTAATTTAGAATCGAGAATCATACCAAGGTAAGAGATTTCTGAAGTTATTTTAAGTTCAACCCCCATCCATCTTAGCGAGCCTGTGGGCAAATCTCGATGCCGTGAAAAAAATATCGTTTGGAGCTTATCCACCGATAGATCGAAACCATTATCAAACAGCCACCTTTTTATGATCTTGAATTTAGCTTTTAATTGCTGCAATACGAGTTTTGTTGATTTATCTGTGGTATAAATGCAAAGATCGTCCGCATATTGGCATGCGTTGATATTAGGACTCCACATTCTGTAGAGATCCACACAATACATATTGAACAAAAGGGGACTAAGAGGCGTAAATTCTTGTATCAGTTATTCCGAAAAGTCAAGTTATTGATGTTGGTGCGCATTAATTTCAGTATAATATTTTGAGATGAAATAGACATGTTCGTCAATTTATTCGGAAAGATAACATGAGAAAAGGTTTGCAAGGTAATATCCTCGGTAATATTCAAAGACGTTTAAACATATCAACGATGTTGTATATTATTTTAAACAAAAGTTGCTTGAAATTTGCATACAGGGTGGGTCATTAGTGCGTAGGTGGAAGATTGTGGGTTTATCAACGCGGCTACAGCCTAAAAATATTTTCGCCGAATTTGCTATTGTTATACACGATTTATATCAAAGTTGCATTTTTTTAAAATAGTTGTTGCAGATTTTGATTCCTTGGTCAATTTGTATGTATTATGCATGATATCTAAAATCCATCGTTTAGCCGCAATGGTGATTTTTTAAAAAGTAGATGTGAAGTAACAATGCGATTAAAAGGCCAGGACTGCATGAAATGTACTACCATTCGCCGAATACGGTCAATGTTAAATTTTTTTGTGTTAAATAAAACCACTGCGTCAATGTTCAAAATTTCAATCACAGTTAACTTGATTTTTATTAATAGAACTACTATTTTTTTATTGCATCAATTGTAGGATTTGATTACCTTTCCAACGATATAAGCATGTCGGTATTTACCTACCTTTTACATATTTTTTTGTAATTCAACAATTTCTGATAGGTATAATTCATAGTGTTTTTCCCTGTGTTTTTCGATTTTCAAAAGCTCTCAGTAATTAGTAGGCCGTTAAAAATTATGAACAGTAACCACCAATTCAAATTATAAAACATTTCCCTGCAAACAAAATAAAACAAAAGAGACTCAGAAACCACTTCACTTCCTCAAAGTATCCACCTAGCAGAATATTTATTGATTTAGTCATTCTTTAACGTTGAGGGAAAATGAGGTGAATCACCATCGTGGTGAAACCACATTTCTTTTATTATGTGCACCGAAACATTTTGAAGACCATCAAAAAGTACTTAAATATTTATTGTAAACAAGTAAAAAGCACTGTTTAAATCACTTTTTTCAAATTCCATTTTTCTAATAAACTTAACTAATCAACAATGCTAATGAACCAAACTGACAAATCAAATCCTACATTTGATGCAATGAAAAAAAACTTGGTAGTTCTATTTAACAAAATCAATTTAGCTTGTGATTTAGATTTGGAAAAGTGATTTTTAACACAAAGAAGTGTAACTTTGAGCGTTAGTACATTTCATGATTACTAACACTGCAAAGTCACGGACTTAAAAGTTTTATGATAATTGTGATAACTATTCAATTTTTACTGGACATCTACTTTTAAAAAAATGACGAATTGCAGTTAAACGACTAATTTTAGATATCATGTATAATATTAAAATTGACCAAGGAATTGATATCTGTATTAACAGCGAATGCAATTTAAAAAATGCAACTTTTGATATAAATCAAACTGTATAACAATTGGAAATTCGGTGAAAATATTGTTAGGTTAGGTCAACATGCTCCGATAATGAATTTTAAACATGTGCGTTAATAAACAAACCTTAGAGTAGGAAAGAGTGAGGAGTGACAATAATCATCGTAAAGTGAAGCCCACATTTGTTTGTTGTTTCACCCAAATCATGGCCGCCTACAGTTCATTGGCGTAACGTTAAAGCGGCAATCGTAGGTACATTAGTGTAAAGTAAATACAATATACAAACGTACCTACTGCAAATATGATTTCAACAAGTAGTACTGTTCTGTGACAAGTAGGTATAAATTGTGCACATTTCACAGATAAGCGATTTTTTCTTAAATATCTTAATAAATTATTGTTTATAGCATGCAAAATTTATTGACGTTTCACGAAATGATGAATGAATATGACACAAATTCAATAAGTAATGCGAGAAGAACCAACTCTTACAGAAAGTTTCAGCTCAGCAATATTGCACATTGCAACCTCCGACACTCCATTTTCGAGATATTCACGTTGACAATAGATATGCCTCGTCCAGATGTTCCACACGCCTGTGATGAGAACTCTCCTTCCGACACTTCGTTTTTGGAGGTATTCTTATCGACCTCACCTGAGTTCACACTATTAATTTAGCCTTTGTAAGTGCTCTCCTCCGACACATTTTTCTAAAGTTTTCTAAATAATGACACGTTCCACTTACCCTACCCTCCACCGATACTCTGTTTTTGAGACAGGAGGAATTATAAGCGATGGAAGAGGAGAGATGTGGTGGTAGAAAAATAAAAACCTGGTGTGCTGTGACCGGCAATCTTTCCTGGCGAGAGTCTAACCTGGGGCGAGAGTAATAAATATATGATCAAGGGACCTAATTGTAAGTTCATCCACTAAGCTCTGTCTTACAAGTGTATCAGTTTTCTGCCATTAGATCATCTTTTCAATGAAGTAAAGTAAATCAGTGCTGGTGTAATTACATGTCAAAATAAACTGCCAAAAATGTACACATTTGTTTGCAATATATATACAATACAGAAACTATTGCCCTTTAAAAGTAATTAATTTTGTCAATTTACTGCGAATCGGATCGTGCTTCTCTGATATATTTTTTACAATGAAATGTAATCTTATATCTACATATGTACTTGCAATCGATTTGATTAAAAAATAAATATGATTTATCTCATAATCTAATGCATGTTCACTTAATGACACAAAAATATTATCAGCGATAAAATGTTGTATGACATGTAACACAATTTTTGCTTTACTGTTCTTCTTGAAGAGAGTATGTTCTTGAGAACGTATCAATCGTTCGCACGCTATACAAATTTTAACGACGTCATGTGAGGGATAAGTTAGTCCCCCTTTGTTTTTTGTATTAATTAATGAATTTAAAAAATCCATCCGATTGCCAGAAAGGGCCCCGTTGCAATCTTCACATTTCAATGTGTTTTGTAGTTTTTTCACTACAAATCCAGCGATGTAGGTAACAATATCCTCACTCACATTACTTAATGTGAACGAATTTATTATATAATCGTGCTCTTTGAGCATGTCGCTTAAGGGAATGTGCTCTTCAGAGAAATTATTGGCAGATATATTTATTATGTCTTCACTATGTTTTATTGACGAACATGTCAATATTGGTGTGGTTTCTAAGGGAACACAATTACCTATTCCACCATCCCTTAATTCAGTCCTGATTAATAATTTCTTATATGCACTCTTAAATTGACGCGCTGTAGGGTTGTTGTTCCAGCCACCTTTACTGCGGATCGAGGAGAAAAACAGCTCCAAGTGATCTTGACTAATTTTATAAGTAGGTAAATATAATAGCACCTCTTGGAGATCTTCATAAAGCCCAACTGCACTCATAAGTGAAACAATCATTCCAACAAAGCCGGTTTTTCTATTTCCATTTATGAATAATGTGCCGTCGGTTGATGATAAAGTCGATATATATCTAATATAGTCAGTGACACTAGCTTTAGTTAGAGCAATGTTTCTTTGGCATAATGCTTTCTTGAAGCCCACAGATCTCAATCCACGACTATTTAAAATATCAAATATGTTGTTGCATATCCTTATAAACTTGGCCGTGGCCAAACAATTTTCAAATCCAGTAATTTGGTTTTTGTGGCAGTACTCTAATGCATCTGCAACGGAATTGCTTAAAAGCTGTACCGCAAGACGAACTTTCATTTTTTGCTTTATGAAATTAAGATGACCTGCCCTTAATTTGTTCCCCAAATGCAACCCTTCTTTGTTTTGCAGATTTAATAGCAGAGATATGAATGCCCATGAAATAGTTTCTCCGTTGCAATCAATAATTTTCATTTTCTCCCCAAATGCATTTCTTACCAATTTAATAACATGAGATGGATCATAGAAAACATATACTTTCTTGTTATCTACCTTAAAATAATTCTGCATATTATTTACATTAATATTACACCCTAATCTATAGAGCATAGATATGTTTGAAGCTGCACCATCGAATGTGACAGAAACTACATCTACATTTACATCACGCACAAGTTGAACAGCCTTTACAATCAATTCAGATTTTTGTAACCCATTTAATGAATTTGTAAAAAAATATCCTACGGGTAGCTTCCACTTTCCATTTATAGCTACAGCCATAATGACAAATGCTTCTCTGCACAGGTCATTGGTCTCTTCTTGCAAATTTGCACCACAATTTACGTAACCATGGTATTCATTGCCATCCCATTCCAAATGCTTCCTAATAGATATCTCATCCATC